AAACCAAATATACGGCCACGTCGAATTTTATCCAAACACTGCATCAATGAATGGTGTCGAATGGGCATCAAATCACCTATTTCAGCCTTAAATCTAAAAAATCCCGGTCCAATCACTTCACTTTTGCAATCATATATAGCATCCACAACCTATAGAGGAAAAGGGGAAGGAAGGAAAAGAAAAGGAATGATTACACTTTCGGTAAACTGCTTCGTCAAATGTCATAAACAAGCAGCAAAGAGTAAAGTATGGCAACATACTGGATCATTTTTCAGAAATTGGAGAACTCTTTCCATATCATGATGGTCAATAGCTCGGCCAATCAAAGCATGGCGATTCCTCTGAATCAAAAATATCGCGACCTGCATCATGTGACTCGCTTAATTTAGGGTCAGTATAAGATGCAGCTGTTTAGGATCATCCTCAACTTATCCGCATGCACTGAAGATAAGTAGTACAAATGAACAGGCTAACCTGGTCATAGTGCCTAATGTCTATATTCGAAAAACTTTTCATTTGATTATATCCTGATTTTATTTTATTTTTTATTTCCCAGATGCAATTATCTTTATTTTAAGTGGAAAACTGAAGACACGTTGTTCAATCAAAGACCAACAAATAGTACCACTATGTTATGCAAAAGAATATAACTAAAAATCATATGAAGTCCATTAGAAAAATCAGTGTACACGTCACCTACCATTCCCAAGAGGTTTCCCACAATAATCGAACCAATAGGATCGTAAATTGCATTTCCTGTGGTATTTACAGCTACCAATGATGCACCAGCAATGACAAGGCCAGTAACAGCAGCACCATCCTGCATCGTAAAAATTATTTGCTCTTATTCCTGCTTCAAGGCAGGTCGGTATGGAATGGGGTTATGGTTCATTGCCCTGGGCTAAGAAGAAGTTGAGTATATCATAGCTGACCACACCATGGGCTAGCCCATACATCTACTGCACGAGTGGAATACTACTCGCGTCAAGTAGAAAGTCGTTTAAGTAGGTTCAGTACTAGCAGATAGAGAGCTCGGGAAGATGAATTCTCTAAAGATCCTCTATAACTAGATTATTCCATATAGCATTATGCAATTTCTTTTTATAACTATAAGCCTAGCAAAATTGTAAGGAAATTAGATTAATTTTTTATCCCATTATTTGCAGAACATGCTCAAAGAACAGACGAGAGAACCCTCCAGATCCCATGAGTATGGAGAATTTATTTAACAGACCTATATCGGTATCATATCATTAGCTGCTACTATGTTATAAACATAAACTCATACTAAAAAGAGCTATTTTTATCTGAAAATCTAAATGGCAGAATATGCATGAACACCTCAAAAATTTATCTGCTACTTCAGCAGATGCATATCATTCAGGATTTTTTTTATTTTTTTTTTTTTTTTAACTTTGCAATGGAAGTACTACAACGAGCAAGTACCAGCCAAACAACTTTCGTTTGAGTTACTGCAAAAGAAAATAATTACAAATGTTCTGCTTATTCTTTCCTAGAAACAGAGAATTGCTTGAACATTTTATTTTCTCAAAATGATATAACTTATCAGATTCGACTCCTGATCCGGGTATGTGAAGTACTCCAACACTGAGTGGATTACATTACCATATCATAAAGGTCCAGGTTTTAGATAAACAATTATTGCATAGAAACCAATTAGGCATAAGCAGACTCCCTAGAATGAAGCATCGGTAAATTAATCTTAACTTTCGAACTTCTGAGACAAATTGAATGACCAAATTAAAAATATTTTGTTACCTCTGTCATGACAGCAACAGCTGTTGGGTCATGACCACGCCAGACATAGTCTCTCACTTTCATTCCTTCAGCAGCAGCACCTTTTCTAACAGCATGGATAGCAACAACAAGAGAAGCACCTGAGACAATTTCACTTTTAAGCATTGAAGGGAAACTCCAAAAGACACAATATTTTGCTTTGTAAAAAGAATGATATGGCCAAGCAATACAGACATCCACCTTCAAGAATGAATGAGCCACCAATCACCAGAGCAGCATACTCTATATGTTCCGGGGCCTGAAGAGAAA